AGCTCTTTGGCCCCTTCAGTGTGGCTCTTCCACAAAATACCGGCTCTTCCACAAAATACCGACTTCTGCGCATGGGCCACGAAGTTTCAATCGCACTGTACGTGTGCGCCCGCACGTGGTATTTTGTGGAAGAGCCACACTGAAGGGGCCAAAGAGCCGCATGTGGCTCGCGAGCCACGGTTTGCCGACCACGGAACTAGGTGAATATTTATGGAGCACCTCTTCCTGGGTAGGTATTGAATATCTGTCCGAAAGGAGTGCTATCCTCAGGGAGCTGCAGTCCTCTGGCCCCAGCCAGGAGCCCCCAGGAAATGTGGGATGTAGCTTGTAAGAGTTGCTGGGGCTCCGCAGGATGGCGTGGGGTCTCCAGTGCCTGGTTTACAGAGCAAGTGCTGCGCCATTGCCACCCTGAGGTTCTGCGTTTTCCTCACGAGCCTGGGCAGGAAGGGCTGGGGGCTGCCTTAGGTCCCGGTGCGCCCCTTCACTGCTGCTCCTAATTGGACATCCAGGACCCCTTGCTGCTGGCCCCACACATCCTCTGGGGCTTGTTTCCCACGCTGATCTCCAGACTCCCTTGTTCCAGCAACAACAGACTCCTTGCTCTTTCCCCGATGGCCCATGAACTTTACCCTCTCTCCATTCATGCCTTTGTTTGTGCTGTTTCCTCTCTCGCCCCTGGTTCTGCACTCAAATCTGGAATCTGAGTCAAGCCCAGGCAGACTCCCAGGCCAGATTTTCCTCAACTCCTTCCCCATCGCTCTGTCCTCCTCAATCAGGCATTGTTCTGACTCTTACTCAAACTCGTAGTTATCTAACTCAAACACTCATTGGATTGTGGGTTCTTTGAAGGCAAAAGCGGTGCTCTTTTTCTCAGAGGGAAGCTGAGGCCCAGTGAGTTAACTTGGGTTGGCCTCTCGACTCAACCACTGTGACCTTGGGCAGATGACCTAACAGGCCTGAGCCGCAGTGTTGTTGCCTGTCGGATCGGGAAAATAATGCCTGCCTCCTAGGATTGTCACTAGGAATAGGGTAGCTCCATGCCTGACAACTAGTAAATGTGCTAGAAGTGTGGTTCCCTCCTCCCCTTCCTCTGTGCAGCTCCTGTGGTCCTAATGCTGTGCCTCACACAAGTCAAATGCTCAGTAATTGTTTGATGAATAAAATGAGTGACTTGAGCTCAGAAATAAACCCAAGATACATAGTCAACTAATTTTCTGTAAGGTCACCACAAATGCATGATGGGGAAAGGACACAGGCTCTTCAATAAATGGTGCTGGGAAAACTGGATATCCACATGCAGAAGAATGGATCCTTATCTTATAGCACACACAGAAATTAATTCAAAAATGATTAAAGACTTAAATATAAGATGTGAAAGCATAAAACTCCTAGAAGAAAACATAGGCAGTAAGCTCCTTGACATTGGCCTTGGCACTGATTTTTTTGGATGACACCAAAAGCTCCGGCAACAAAAGCAAAAATAAACAAGTGGGACTACATCAAACTAAAAAGTCTGCACAGCAAGGGAAACCATCTACAAAATGGTTTTCTACAGAGAACATTCCTCCAAACCATATATCTGAACAGGAGTTAATATCCAAAATATAAAAGGAACTCGCACAACTCAATAGCAAAAAACAAAAAACTCAAAGAATGGGCAAAAGATTTGCCTAGACTTTGTTCCCAAAGAAGATATACAAATGGCCAACAGGCATATGAAAAGGTGCACAGCATCACTAATCATCAAGGAAATGCACACAAAACCGCAATGAGCTATTTCCCCACACCCATCAGGATGGTTATGATTTGAAAAATAGGTTATTGTTGGCAAGGACATGAAGAAAAGGGAACCCTTGTACATTGTTGGTGGGAATGTAAAGTGGTGCAACCATTATGAAAAACAGTATGGAAGTTCCTCAGAAAACTAAAACTAGAACTCTCGTATGATCCCGCAATTCCACTTCTGGGAATATATCCAAAAGAAGTGAAATCAGTATCTCAAAGAGCTATCTGCATCCATGTCCGTTGCAGCATTATTCAAATAGCCAAGATACGGAAACGACACATATGTGTCTGTCAATGGATAAATTGATAAAGAAAACGCAGCCCTAACTGGTTTGGCTTAGTGGATAGAGTGTCGACCCACATACTGAAGGGTCCTGAGTCTGAGTCCAGTCAAGGGCACATGCCTGGGTTGCAGGCTCGATCCCCGGCCCTAGTCAAGGTACATGTGGGAGGCAACCAATCGATGCCTCTCTCTCACATCGATGTTTCTGTCTCTTCCCCTCCCTTCCATTCTCTCTAAAAATCAATAGAAAAATATCCTCAGGTGAGGATTAACAAAACAAAACAAACAAACGTGTCTTTTTTTAAAAAAAGAAAAGAAAATGCAGTGTATACACAATGAAATGTTATTCAGCTTTTAAAAAGGACATCCTGCCATTTGCAACACCATGGATGAAATTGGAAGATAAGCCAGACATAGACAAAACCTGCATGATCTCACGTATATGTGGAATCTAAAAAAGCTGAATACACAGAAGCAGAACGGTGGTTACCACGGGCTGGGAGGTGGGGGAAATGTGGAAATGTTGGTCAAAGGGCACACAGTTGCAGTTACGTAAGATGAATAAGTCTAGAGGTCAAATGAAGAGCATGATGACGGTAACTAATATACTGTAATGAACACTGGCAATTTGCTTAAAAAGTCGATTCAGGTCTCTCACCACACACACAAAAATGGGAGCTATGTGAGGAAATGATACGTTACTGAGCTAGACTGCAGTAATCACTTCACTGTTATATGTAGATCAAATAATTTTCATACCTTACATATATACAATTATTATTTTAAAATAAATTTACAAAACACAAGTGACTTGACTGTCATCTCTTCTGGCCCCTTAAGATGTTGAAATCAGAAGGGACATTACAGATCACTGGGTTTATTTCCTGAAACTGAGCACTGGAGGGCACGAGATAGAAGGTTACTTGAAAGAGTCACTCTTCAAACCTTAGTCTGTTCATCCCAGTCCAATGCTCTTGACAGTTCCTGAATGTTGGCTGGTCCCTTGGGGCTGCTGGGCCTGGGCACGACCGGGGCACATCCTCACGTGGATGTGGATCCATGTAAGAATCCTCCATCTTCACACCGCTCTGCTCAACTCCCACCTCCTCCTGGATTTTTTCCTACATATTCAATGCCTCCAGGGAGTTTGTATGGCAGCCAAAGATGGTAGAGATTGGCATTTCCCTGGTTCCGCAGGCAGGAGTCCTTGATTCAAGCTTTCTGCTTTCTCTGGAGAAGGCTGTCTCCCATGCCCCGGGTCTCCTCTCCCATGCCCTTTCCTTTGGTGTCATGTTCTTCTGCATTTCCTTCATCCACCACCCCCACCCCATACACCTCTTCCTATCTTCCCATCCTTCCTCCCCCTCCCCAATAAGCACCCTGAGCCTTTAACTTCTGTTTGTGGAATGCTGGTCTCAGACTAGATCCTGCGCCCATCTTCTATACCAGAGGGTACATCTCTCCCAGGGTCCCATTTCTCAAAGAACTGAAGTTTTGTTCCACTGATTAGAATGGCTTATCACCGTACAGAGTACGATGATCTGCTCAGCAGCCAAAACATTTCAGGTTCAGTCAGGTGGGCCTGGGAGGCCAACATGGCATCAGGTCAGTCCAGAATGTTCACATGTAGAAACAAACATCAGAGTGAAAATGGGCCTTAGAACCACCCTACCCCTTGACTCCAACTCATGGAGATGCCAGCACCCAGAGATGTCAGGTAGCACCTTCCATCCACACCCTGGAAGCGGCCAAGGAAATAGCCCAAGAGAGAAAATAAAAGAGGCATTTTGTACAAGGATCTATTTGTGTTAGCAGAACATTGGGAAACATTCCTGTACCGAACAACAACGAAGTGAAGCCAGCTGTGGGTCTTCAGCACAAGGGAGCACAGCAGCCCGAGTGCGGCTCTGGGATCCAGCTCATGTCTGCAGACATGCTCATGTGGAGCATGGTTTTACCTGTTCCCCTCATTCACTTTCATATTTATTTTTGAAGGGATATCTTTTTCACATTATAAAAATGACATGTTTATTCTGGAAATTTGGAAAATAAAAACATGCGAAGATGGAAAGAAAATATCACCCTTTATCCTACCCTCCCAAGATACCACCCTTTGTGTTTTGATGCTTTACCTCTCACTGTGTTTCTTTTCTATGAGTATGTATAGTATACCCTATCTTTTGCATTTAATATTATAACATTGTATAAGGAGCATTTCCCCATGATATTATTTATGCTATATTTCACATCTTGTGACCTCTGAAATTGGGATATATCTTCAATTGATAGCATGTCATAGTTAATTATTACATGTTTTTCTTTCTCAGAAGAGCATAAAATAAAGGTCAGTCCTATATTGAATTAGATTTGATTAAATCTGGATATGCTTCAAAAGCATGATTTTTATGCTAGTATAACATAGCCTGTCATAAGAACATAAACGTATTTGATTTTATTAGCCTCTTATTATTGGGCATTTAGATGAGTCCAACTTTCTACTTTAAAAAATATATTTTTTTATTGATTTCAGAGAGGAAGGGAGTGGGAGAGAGAGACAGAAACATCAATGATGAGAGAGAATCATTGATCGGCTACCTCCTGTATGCCTCCCACTGGAGACTGAGCCCGCAACTCAGACATTTGCCCTGATCGGGAATTGAACCATGACCTCCTGGTTCCTAGGTGGACGCTCAACCACTGAGCCACATTGGTGGGGCCTAACTTTCTACTTTTAAAGAAATATCCTTATATGTGAAATGTGTCCACCATGATCATTGTTTATTGTGGTTGATTCCCAGGAATAGGTATAATGAGACAAAATGAATGAAGGTCTTAAAGGCTCTCGATGCAGACACATATAGATATTGACAAGGACCAACATGAGGAATAAAGATGGGCATCACACTTACCAAGTTCTTATTTTCTATGAAGTTCTTTGTGCATAGACTTTGAAATGATGATCATAATGACAGTTCAGCTGTAAGTAACTCCATTTACTTATTAGGGTGTGTGTGTGTGTGTGAGAGAGAGAGAGAGAGAAAGAGAGAGAGAGAGAGAGAGAGAGAGAGAGAGGAGAGAGGAGAGAGAGAAGAGAGAACAGGATAAACAGGATAGAGTAGGGAAATGAGAAGTGCCTAGTGCTGCAAGAGAGCCCTCAAATACTGGAATGGATGCTGTAGGAGTGTGTGCCATGAAGTCTGGGGTGGGCAGGAGAGCTGTTGGGGTGAGGGAAGGTTGTTTGGTAAGATTTGCATACCTCTAAGTTCCAGCAGTTGGAGCACAAAGTCTAGAAAAAGCACTGAACTGGGTGAGACTAGGAGACCTGGGTTCAAGTCCTGGCCTGCTGATAATTTGCTCTCTAACCAAGCTTGAACACATGACTTCCCCTCCTCAAACCTCAGAGTTTTTCCCTGTCAGTGAGGAGTGCGAATGGAAGATCTTCAGGATCCTTCCAGCTCTACAGATCTATAACCTTGGCGTTCCCAGCATTTGGGGAGAGACAGATGGCATTTGTTGGTTTATAACTGACCCCAGCTTCCCCACTTCTGATTCTTTGAGGCCTGGAATAGCTTTCCTGGCATCTCTTACCCAGGTAAAATGTCAGAGCCATTGAAGACCCCTGGGAGTGCACAAAGGATTAGTGTGGCCACATTTAGCATGACATGGGACTCCAATTCCCAACTTAACCCAAACTCCTGACAACCCTTCAGAGAAACCTGCTGCTTTCTCTTCTTCCCCAGGAACTCCAGAAGAGGCAGGTACAGACACCTTAAGTCTAGCTTGTATGCTTTATCTGAACGGGCCTCTCAAAATCAAAGATCAAACCCCTTTAACCTCTCCCCCTACCTCAGGGTTATGAAAAAGTGCTTTAGTTAGGACATGGCTTGGATTGCTCTAATAAAGACCCAAAGTGGCATGAACAAAACTAAAGTTTACTTTTGTCTCACATCTCATAGTCTAGATGTGTGTCCAGACTGTTAAGGTGGCTCTTCTTTTCAAAGGGGTTAGCAGCCCAGGTTCCTTCTCTCGTTGCTCCATCATCTAGTGTGACTCACCCCCATGTCCATGTTTCCACCTGAGGGATGTTACAGGTAAAAGAAGGGGAAGGCTATAAATCGTGAAGGACAAGTCTTCAGTCCCATAGTGGGTGGCAAGGCTCTCCCTGAAGGACTGAGAACAGATTCAGAATTACAAGCCCTTCCTTGGATTTTCAAGAGCCAATGAAGCATGATTCCACAGATTTTTTTTATTGTAATACACAACCAAAGGCTGCTTACAAATATCCTTCTGTATCAAACAAGGATTAGCAAATTATGGTATTTATAAACCCAAATTAATAATCCCTAGAATTTATTGGGGTCTTGAAATCAGTATTCTATGAAGATGGCTGGTGCCTTTGCAGTCCCTGGCAAAGCTCTTCCTGTGTGCACCTGTATAGATTGCTAGAACTCCCAAAATTCTCAGTAAGGACTCTGCCATCTGTGCCATCTTTTTAAAAAATATATATACTAGAGGCCCGTTGCAGGAAGATTCCTGCAAGAATAGGGCTTCCTCGGGCCTATTCCTGCAAGAATAGGGCTTCCTGAGACCAGAGCTAAGCAGAGAAGGGAGCGAAGCCCACCGAGGCGGGCTTCGCTCCCTTCTCCGCTGCCTCGCTCCCTCCCTTCACCACTTTGCCCTCGGCTCCCTCCCTTCTCTGCCGCCTAGGCTCTCTCTCTTCTCCGCCACTTTGCTCCCTCGCCCGGTCCCCAGGTCAGGAATCCAAGGCCCAAATCCCGCGGTCAGCATCGGGCACTGCCGGTCCTGCCTCTCTGGGTCATGGATCCGGGGCCCGGATCCCGCGGTCAGCGTGGGGCGCTGCTGGCCCCGCCTCGCCGGGTCATGGATCCGAGAGCCTGGTCCTGGGGGCAGTGTCTCGTGCTGCCCACCCCACCTGCAGTATGCAAATTTAACGGCCATCTTTGTTGGGTTAATTTGCATACTCTTCTGATTGGCTGATGGGCGTAGCAGAGGTACAGTCAATTAGCATCTTTGTCTTTTATTAGTGTAGATTTTTTATTGATTTCAGAGAGGAAGTGAGTGGGAGAGAGAGATAGAAACATCAATGATGAGAGAGAATCATTGATCAGCTGCCTCCTACAAGCCTCCTACTGGAGATCGAGCCTGCTACCCAGGCATGTGCCCTTGACCGGAATCGAACCCAGGACCCTTCAGTCCACAGGTTGATGCTCTATCCACTGAGCCAAACCAGCTAAGGTCATCCTTGTCATCTTGAGTTTGTTCCAATATTCAGTTACTACTGCTCCTGCTTTTCCATTATAAATTTCTGTGAGTTTAGCTTCATCATTATTGATTTAGTTTGTTGTGCGTTGTTCAGTGAGCCACCAGTGTGTGGCACTTACTTGTATATTTGAAACGTATAATTTTCATTAACCACTGTGTCTTAAAGTATAATCTGTGGGCCACCTACATTGGAATCTCTTAGGTGCTTGTTAAAATGCTGATTCCTGGGTCCTTGCCCAGACCTCCTGAATGAGAATCTGTGCCGGCGAGAATCTCTGAACACATCTTTAGTGTGTTTGCATGGTGGCTAGAACACGAAATCGCCCAGATCCTTATTGCTAAATCAACTGTGCACATAGTTCCCCAATTCTGCATATATAGAAATGGGCTGCATCTGGATTTATCCTACTTAAAGATCCTGCAAGAGAAAGGGTGTTGTTTTATCACATAAAATTGTGCATAGCTTGTTTTAGGAAGTATAGCAGGTGGTTCATACACCCCTTTCTTATTCTGTTCTGCCCACATGGTTTTCCCACTGACAAATGAGTGTGGGTAGTTGAGGGGCCTCTGGTCCCGCCAAGATCAAGGAGCCAAGATCCCATGGAGCATATTAGACCCTGACAGGTAGAAACACTTGCTGGAGTAACTCTTAAAGAAGGAACATGGGGACCATGCCAAGGAGGGGTCCTGGAGGACTCTCCATGGCTCACAGGGGAGAAGCAGCTAAGCCTGAGAGTCAGGGACGTGGCCTGAGGCTGCACTGGAAAGTGGCTGGGAGGATTTCAGGACACCACCCCCACCCGCCTGTGGGGCCTCTGGGGACCGCCTTCCCCTCCCCCTCTGTACTGTGCACTGGAGGAGGGGCCGGTTCCAGGGTCCCAGCAGGCCCTTTCTCCACTGCCCTCAGTTCTGACTGGAGCACATTGTGTCCTGGCTGTGTCCCTCACAGCCTCTTAGTGACGGGCCTGTTGTCCAAGATGGGCGCGCGGCTGGTCCGGGCCTGCGCCCATGTATTATGCATCAGCAGCTCAGACAAAGCTTCTGTGTGTGGGAGCTGGGTGGGGTGAGGGCTTGGCCCCCCACAGAGTTTTATTTACCAGGCACTGGATGCCCAGAGGGTGGGATGGTGGGGGTTGCTGCGTAGAGGAGATGGGCTTTGCAGTGGGGCCTCCAAGAGGAGAGAGGTGAGGTGTCCCAGGCGCCACTGCAGGCCTTCCTAGCTGAAGCAGGAGTGATGGCTTACTTCAAGTTCAAGGCAGCCAGGGAAACAGTCGCTCACGATATCATGAGAAAGACAGGCAGGCTCCGGAGGAGCGATTACACAGTGTGAAGTTCATTGAGCTCTGGAATCTAACACACAGGCTGACTAATTCCAACCACAAGCGTCTGCTTTAGGGATAGGGTTTTGAAAGGAGGATATGGGGCAGGCAAGTCTGAGGAGAGAGTGCTGGGTGTGTAATTGTGTGCTCTGTGTATGTGTGTTCATTCTCAGCAAAATCTGTGATCCCAAGTGATAGGTGATTGGACCATCCCATTGATGGACAAAAGGGCTGAAGAGATAAAGAAATAGGATCCAACCCATTCTGAGTGTTGGGCTGGGAGTTTGGTCTTTATTCTCTGAGTGTAGGGACATCGGAGGTGCTAAAGCAGAAGATGGTCAGAGGTGTTTTGTTTTTATTTGGAAGAAATCTCTGAGGATAAAATGAAAGGTTTCAAGGGAGAAGGGGAAAGGAAGGAACTAATGTTTACACATACTTAGCAGGTACTTAACTTACCTTGCCTCATTTAATCATCTATGAACCGTGAAGTGGAGAGCAGTAACCTTGGTTACCAGATGAGGGTCCAGGGCCCAGAGGGGTTAAGAAAGTGGTTCATGGATTGTTGGGACGAAGTTACAGCCATCTGTCTGCCTCCAAGCTCATGCTTTCACATGACATGGGTTCCCTCCAGCTTTACAAAGCTGGGCAGGGTGCTATGCTGGCATAGGTGGCCCTGGGGGACTGACGGCTGGGGATGGCCAGAAACCCAGAGGCAGCCTGGGAGGAAAGAGACACGTTAGCCACTGTGGCCTCTTGTCTCTGCAGATCCTGGAGTGGGGCCTTGACACGACCCCTCACTCTGGAAAGGGACTGTCCACGGTTCTCTAAGCATTTTTCTGTTTAATGCATCATTTGTGCCCTCTTCACTGTGGTCTGGGAACCAAGGGACATGGTTCTATTCCCAGCTCTAGGATGCCACCAATGTGCGATGTGACCGTGAGCAATCACTTGCCCTTACTGGGCCCTCATGTTCCCACCTCTGAAATGAAGAGTAGCATGTGTGCGTGCATGCGTGTGTGTCTGTGAGTGTGTTTCTGTGTGAATTGTGTGTATGTGTGTAAATGTGTATAAGTGTGTGCTTGTATGTTAGTCCTCAGCAAACTCGACGTAAAGAGGAGGACCAGATGAACTCTAGGCCTTTCCTCACTGTGTTCTCTTCTTGGGGGATGGGGGATGCTGGCATCATTGTTCCCATTTTATAGAAGCTGAAAGTAGAGTCTTGAAAGAGGGTCCTGGGTGAGCCTGGACTAAGCCATATTGCTCTTTTCCACCCACACCCAACAACCTTGATCTTGAAGTCCCCACTGGGTGGCTGCCATCCTGCTGGGTGGGTCCTGTGCCTGAACGGGGCCTTGGACGTTGTGGCTGAACATGGGG